TCGGTCAAAAATTAAGATATTGATCTGCGGTTTGCGCCAAAATTCTTAGTTTTTTATGCTCTTTCGAATGATGTATCACAAGATAGGGGTTGCCATTTGAAAAAAAAAAGTTGGGGGCCCCCCGCGCCCCCCCTGAGGGGGACCAAAATTTTGATCCCCCCAAAAAATGGTCCCCTTTGAGATAGGAACATTCCCAAAGTTTCATTACCCTACCTCAATTCGTTCAAAAGTTAGCAGGGGTGGGACGGACTTTTGGTACACCCTGTATGTTTTATGCCTATCTACATGAAAAATTTTTTTCAGGGATTGTCTCACAGCATACATTGAAAATGAAGATAGTGCTTCGATCAAATGCCCCTATGCAGATGATAAACACAGTTGTTCATTTAATATACAAGACCGAGAGGTGAAAGCGGTGAGTTAGTCAAATTGAAACACAATTACTTTTAATTCTTTTTTTGGAATCGATTAAAGTGCTGAATGCCAAGGAATGATTCCATTATTGAGCTATGGAATATTTTGGAAGAAAAATGTCTTACGAGTGTCTTTAAACCCCTCCTATCTTCCGCTGAAATGCTGTCAGAGTGTAGACCTAGGCATTATAAGCCATGAAAAATATAATCAAGCTATCACTCATAACCAAAGTTTGAAAGAAAAAAAATTAAGTCCAGAAATTACTGTAAGAATCATCTATCAAGCACTCGGCATTTTTTGGCTTAAACCAGTGTATTATAAAGTAGAATTTATAAAGAAACTTCTTTGGAGCACTTCAATTGTAGGGTTAATAGAGCCTCTAATGGGCACCCTTCTTTTTTGGGGCAAATTGCACTTTATTGACTATCATTTTTTCATTAATGAATCAGTTAGAACCTTTGAAAATCAGGTTTAACATCTTGTGGTGCCATTTTGAATTTTGATTGATAAGGACTTCTTAGCACTTTCCATCCCAATCAGATACAACTAACCTAACTAAATGGAGGATACAGCTACAGCTACTTGTGTAATAGATGCTTCGTCTCTTCCATCGAGTTTCCAAGCGAATTCCTAATCTTCTTGATGACTTTTTCACCACAGTCCTATTATGTACGCTATAACATTGCTTGAAATTACGTTTTCCCGGAGACAACGTTTAATTCTTAACGTACCTACTGGCCATTTCTCATCTAAGTGTTGCTCCAAATAACCTTTTTCTGGAAACAACATTTTACTTTTAATTCCCCTATCTAAAATCTTTAATGGAAATCTTCTATTTCAAGCATTTACTAGAGCCTAGAGCCACTTGTTTCACTCACTGACCTCAAAAACTTGCTTCTGGAAATATTTTGAAGAAGTTTTTATCTTCCAAAATATCGAAATTGTTGGAATTTTCTAACAAAACATCATACAGTTGAAAAATGCAAGGATGTCGTTACATATTTTGTATCAAACATATCAGATTACGCTACAATATTGTTCAATAATGACAGCCTTTTTTTTGCAGCTGCTAACCAAGGAAGCTTTTGAAAAATATGTATCAAGATCAATTAAGCTTGCTGAAGGGAGTATGCAAAACACAGTCCATTGTTTAACACCGGATTGCGAGTTTTTTCTCACAATCGAGGATATGCCAAATTTCACTTGTGAAAAGTGTCATGAGCTGAACTGTCTTGAATGCAAGGTCAGTAGCTGATAAGATTCATACTTGGATACTTTCAAGACCAATCTCTTATTCTACTTTTCATCTTTAGAGTCTGTGTCCTAATCAAGGGGATCTGCTAGGCCTATGTTCAATCTAATTTATAAGATGATAGAACTTATTAAGGACTGAAAAATTTAGTTGTGATGCTCTCTCAAAGCCTTTGGCTTTTCTCTGCTGAAAATTATAGTATGGTTGTTTTTTTCAATTTTGCTTCTACTTTTGCACTTTAGTGCTTTTTTTTTTACCTTTGCTTTCACTTCATCACACCTGACTTGAGCTTGCTCCTAGAGTGCATGCAACGTTTTAATGGAGAAACCAGGGTTGAGGAACCATGTTGTGAGGTATCCCATTGGTTTCTTGACTATTCGCGCACTGAATAATAAGCAATCGAAATAGCAAGAGTAAGTTTGAGAGAGCAACAAGTTAAATGTTTATTTTTGGGAGAGTAAACGTTGAAGCCTTTTGCTTTTTAGTTGTGCGGCGAAGCCGTGTAGACTCTAGGTTTCGCGGACGCTAAAAACTGTTCGCACTTTTTGAATTTTAACCCTGAAAACTTTCGAAATGAGAGAGATCTATTTAAGCAAAAATTGAAAAATCACCCTTAGTTCAGAATGCATTTTCAGAATCTATGACTCATAAACGATGCTTATTACATGGTCTTCGTGTGATTTGTGTCTGAGATTAGTGGAGAAGGCAATAATAGCGTATTTCCTTCAGAAAATACACTAAAAATCGAGCTGTATCCTGATAAGTGGGCACTTGGGCAGTCTTTTACAACTTGTAGATATGTAAAGCCTTATAATGATAGTTAATTATATTCATGTTATTGTGAAATGTTTTTAGGCTATTCACACCAACAAAACTTGTCGACAGCACCAAGAGGATTTGTTGGAAAAGTCAGACCCAGAAAAACAAGCTGATATTGCGGCTTCTGAACACGCTCTTAACGTAGGTTCCATTTTTCAGATACGGATCTTCCCTACCTCCCAAACCATATGAAATTCAAAAAAATTATTTAAGGGTATAAAAAGAGAGGAGTCGGGGAAAAAAATATCCTGAAATTTAAATCTGTTCAGCATGCTGTATGAAGGGTAGTGAAAAAACAAGAAACTGGAGAAAATAATAGAATTTTGTAAATTTGAAGTTCATTGGTGTCAAAAGTTTCCATGCACTATTTCAACTCTCAGTGTAACTTTCTCTAATTACAAAGATACTACGGAACTTAATCATTCTTAATGTATTGATTGTGCTGTCTGCAACAAGAGGGGGTTTGAAAAGACACAACTAAAAAAATGTGTGCTGTTGGAAGCTTTCCAAAACCAGAACCCTTGTTATGGTCTATGAACTTGAAAAGGAAGAAAGAAGGACAAACCGACACAACTTGGAGTTCGAATGCATTTTCTTGAATTTTTGGTCAGTTTTCTTTGAGGAAAATTAAACATAATCGAAAATGTGGAATTGTTGCAATGAAGATAAAAATGTTCTGACTTTAGCCATGAGTTAGTATTCTTTACGCTTCTTTCGTGCACCAATCTTATCTCTTGACTTGTTCCAGAATCTGGTGGCTCAAGGTCTGGCGATGATTTGTCCCAATTGTGGTGCTCATGCAATGAAAGCAGAAGGCTGTGATGCAATCGTGTGTCGTTGCAAAACAGAATTATGTTGGGCCACTAAAAAGACACGATGGGGCCCAAGAGTGAGTATTAGTCTACACCAAATTGTAAAAACTACTTTCTAGAGTGTACAGACTTGAAATTTTTTTCAAAACTCCTCAGCTGAATCACTTTTGATGATACATATGATTCCGATTAGGTATATTTGGACGTATTTCTATCAAACGGAACTAAGCGCCAATTTGAGTTCCTTTTGAGGAATTTAGAATCCTGGATAGCGCGTTCTGTCAAACGGACCTAAGCGCCATGGAAAAGCATTGCTAGTATAGGACAGAATAAGCCAGACGCCCGATTCCGCCGCCAATCCAAGCCCCCCTCTACCTTCCTCACCCTATGGCGCTTAGGTCCGTTTGATAGAAATACGTCCATTTGATTTGTCGTATGTGTAGGCAAGATCTGTAAAATTTGCTAAAACAGAAATTGTGCATCAGTTCGTTAAACCTGTCCTCCTATAGGCTGAAAGTAATTTAAAAAGTTGTTAAATATAATTTTATGTCCTTCCAGAATTTTTTAATTTAAGGCTCTGCTACACCCTAAAGTGTGCACTGATTGACAAAATGTTCGGCATAGAGTCTTTTTTCAGCTTGCATCTCCAAATATTGTCGTTTTATTTGTCCTTAAAAGGGGAAAAGAATTAACATGTTGGCTTTGACTAATCCGTAGCTTTTCATTCAGATTCAGATCACATAGAGTTTACAAAATGAGCACATTTTTTTCAAGTTGCACTGTAACCCGAGCACCTACACTTTGCGTTGCAGGATTTACGTAAATTCAATAGCCTTGGAAGTATGTAACACTTGGCCAGATCCAGGTAGGAACGGATAAGGCCCACTCCTCCTTTCATTTCTCAAGAGAAGCCGTCAGAAGGGAGAGTGGCGATGAACACGTTAGATTGATTATGCTAATAGTTAGAATGAGTCGCAGATAGTAGTCGAAACAGTGAAATATATTTCAAAAGACTCATAGAATTAATTACAATACTTTACAGAGATGGAATCGGATGAGATCGAAGTGGATGGCATTATGGGGAGGGCCTCTGTTAATAGAAAAACGTTATGCACCCTGTAAAATACACACCAACTCTGAGGACGAATTTCCAGCACAGTTTTTTCACACCGTCATATACCTAGCTAAATGAATCAAAACTAATAGTTGGCTTGATGCTGAGTAGAGGAGGGGGTGAAGCATTGCAGAACCCAGTATCTTGTCCTTCCTAATACTCCTATGATCATACAATGTTATGTGCGGCCAATTATAATACGTCCCCTCACGTGCTCCTGCTCAGGAAGTTTGTGTGAGGTCATAAGCAGTTCGGTCACTGGGAAGCATATCGATGGCCAAAGTGTGAAACGACGCATCTCCATTGCAGCATCTCAAAATCTCTGTTTATTTTTTTGAAGAGAAACAAGTCAACTCTATAGCTTGAAATTTCAATGGAATATTCTGCCAATAGAGAAGATTAATAAAGGCAGTTTTTGAAAGATTAAGTTGACTAGTTTTCCTAAGAAAGAATGAAGTATGACTGCAAGTGTGCAACACCGCAAATAGAGGAAAATTGTTTCGCACTTTAGCTATAGATATTAAAAAAATTTGATCACAAGGTAATTTTGCTATAAAGTTCCAAAAGTCTTTCAGATGTCCTTCAGTTTAATTGATGATAATTTGGAATTTGGATTTTACTTTGATTTTCGAGATTTTTGTCCTTCTGATTCATCTTGATCTCTTTTAAAAACTTTCAGGGTACTGGAGACACTTCAGGAGGATGTCAGTGCAATGTCAACGGGAGACGATGTCATCCAAATTGTCAAAACTGCCATTGAAAATCAAAATATTTCATCAATAAATCACGATATTTTTAATTTTTTAGTCTCTTGATTTATTGCATTTCCTATTACGCTTTCAGTCAGGGTTTTTGCCAAATGGATTGGGATAATGCAATACCTAATCAGTGAAAATTAAGTTTTGTAGATGAACAGTGAAATCAGAAGTCAGAACCCATATTTAATTAGATTTATTAATATTTGCATTATTTTAGGTACCAGTTACATTTCACATGTATAAAAAATATTTTTCAAGTTGATAGTATGAGACGTGCATTATGATTTGGGAGGGGGTATTTTGATCTGTATTTTTCGTTGTCACCTCCTGTTCATAAAATCCGCTATTTGCTGAGATCTAGTTAAATTAAAAGTGGTAATTGAAGACCTTTATAGGGCAAATGACACATATTGTACTTTTTGAGAAAATGCATTTTTTTAATTGCACCATCACATTAGGTACCTATCATAGAGAAAAAAAAGGAGGTGTTTGCATCTTGAGGATTTGTACCCACCTACGTCATCAATGTAAACAAGACGCTCGTTGAGGGTTATGTTGACGCTGTAAAAACGGACCATAATGTCCGATTTTTTTACTTAAATCAACTCTTTATTTAATTTCAAGCACTTTTTATAGAATGACTTTTTCCCTTAAATTACACCATTTCCAAGAAAATCGACAGGATAAAAACGTCGCTGTACCCAATGACGTCATCAAAGCTATATAGATACTCTATGAAAAATTGCAAGATGCCCGAAATGCAAACACCTCCTTTTTTTTCTCTATGGGTACCTATGGGTATTTTTTAGAGTTTAGTGTGGCAAAGGCTATGTATCCTTGAAAATAACCTTATTTTTTTTCTTTGGGGAAAAATTGAATGGTAGTAAAATTACGTGTCTCTCAAAGATTTGCTTCCAGGATCTTTTCGACCTAATTTGCAACTAATCAGAAGTTAAGAAGAATTGAAGTTATTGGAGGGACTTCAAGGACACCTTTGTGTAAAGCATTTAAGTACTTGGCGTTGAGCAATCATACCACCAATCATAGCCTTCCTTGTTCTGCATCAGTGTTATTAACGAATGAACCTCCAGTCGCAAAACAGAGGCAACTTTTCCTCTTTCTCTTCATAAAACTATGGCAGAATTGATTTTTTTTTTTTTTTTTTTTTTTTTTTTTTTTTTTTTTTTTTTACTTTACAAGGGTTCCTGGTTGGAGTTGGAGGAGTTTAAACTTCTCGTTAAATTCAGGAAATTTCAACTCAACTACATTTAGTTCAGGAATCCACGTAAAGAATATTATCAGATCCTTCCATCAGTCAAGAGAATCTTCTCTATTATTCAACAATCTTTTATTCTTAAACATATTTGTTTCGGGCTGTAGAAAGAGATACTGGGGCTCAACCTTCAATTTCCTTCAAGGATGTGGTACTTTTTAAAATTCCCGCTGAATTCTACTCGTCTGTCACACGTGGCGATAGTGCGTTGTTGCCTCTGTACACTGTTGCCGCTTTGCGAAACGTTAATTTTTTCACTGTTCTCAAGTCCCCAGAAAAGAACAATTTTTCGCACGATTTGTATTTATGCAATTGCAAATAAACAAAAATTTGTCAATGTTGTGTTGATTCAGTTGATAATAAAAATAACAGTCTGTGATTTTTTATTCGATTGATAAGCAAAGATATTGATGATAACTGCAAAATTTGTTGTGCTTTTAGAATTTTAATCAATTCACCTGTCATTTTTCTCCAGTTTTTTATTCACCTCAGGATTGGAATTAGTTTACTGATTGTTGGCGTATTAAAATCTTCCCTCTGTCGGAAACTTTACATCCTCCGGTTGCAGTCTATGTGTTGATAGTGCACTGTCATCAAAATGAATTATAATCACTCTAGAGGGCAATTTGGTAGAGTATTTGCTATTATCATTTAGTTAATTCTCCCAGCTTTCTCACGTATTAAAATGATCCGATAGTGGTTTTGAGGTTAGGTTGCGACGTCAACTCATCTCGAGACTAATGAAGCATCCCCATGGGAAAGTTCTGCTCGTGGCCAGATCAGCCACTTTATCTAATCAAAGGAAAATAATATTACCCATTCAGCGAGTAGAATCAACATTAATTTTGCAACTTGAGTTACCTCTGCTGAAGTTGGAGTTTGGAGTTGGACTTTTCTTCACCAACCATGGTCGCAAGCATCATTTGAACATATGAACGATAAGTAGGTTAAATTAAGGTTCTGGAAAACTGGTCCTACACGTTTTGGGTGGAAATAATGAAGATCACTGATAGCACACGATTGTAATCTTGGCTACTGACTAACTACCGGAGGACAGCGCACCGAAGTCCATGCAGCATTAGAATAAATACGTATTTCCTTACACCAAGTAGTTGCCAGTATTTTACCAGGTTAACATACCTTAACTTCAGCTTAAGAGTAAACAGACTTATCAGCCGTTTGAATCTTTTTTATACCAAATCTCTCGATTGCATCAAGATGACTTATTGGAAAAATTCTAGCGAATCCCTCAAAATCACAGAGGCCTCGGAAAAGCATTTACATGTGTGGACTTTATTGCCCATTAGGTCTTATTGGTCTAATCACCATGTGCTTTTTCTCCATTTGTTTATAGCCCAAACTCCTGGGAGGAAGTTGACGAAAAGGCCAACGGAAACACCCGGAATGGAAACCTACGCTCGGTCTGAAAATTATGTGCCTCCTCCTGCTCCTGGATTCCAGCCCAGCATGCATGCTAACATTAACTACCCCCCTCAACCCGGTCCAACACCTACCTGTAAGTTGTTTATTGTGGTGATTTTACTTTTTATTTAAAATGGACCTCTCTGTCATTTGAAAAGATCAAATTATACAGAATTCTATCCAAACGTGTTTTATAAGACCTAATAGTTCATAAAAAATGAAGCGATCGGATATGGACATGGTTTCCTCTGGAAAAATGTTATTAAAATTCAATGAATTATTTTGAAACCAGTCATTGGCCCAAGGCCAAAATCCTTGCAGTTTGAATGATTTGGTGCTGCAACATATCAATGACCAAAGTTCAAAATCACCTATATTCCTCTCATCATGGTGTTTCAAAATTTGCATGAATTTTTAAGGTGAATCCAGGCTTGGAACTTCGCGATTTGGCCACCACGTCGCGCTGCTCAGAATAGCCATATATATTTGCCAAAATAATTAAAACCATAATACTTATACAAGATTGGGGATCCAGGGGATATAGCAACATACTTGAGGAACACTCAGAGAAAAAATCTTCTCAAAATTCCCAAAAATAAAATCGTAACTACAGCGGAAAGTAATTCCCATTGCGGCAATAGGAGAGAGAGAGACAGAACATGAGGGATTCGGTTGCACGCTCGCCCGCCGCGGCTGAGCTGAAAGTTTCAGCCGTACTTTCTCTGCGCTTGTAATGCAAATTGCCAATATTTTTGGCTCAAAAAATCAAGCAGAAAATAATCTAGATCTTGTGGATCTGCTTTTTGTAATTTGAACAATATTATCTCAGTAATCGTCGAAGGAAAAAGAAATTCTCAGTGATGACTGGTGGCGCTATCTCATATCTTGAATTATCCCTAATCGAACCCTGGATTCACCTCAACTGAGGCCTTTCTTTTGTTTTTTTAAAACAACTGATTAAATTTGTTACCAAATTTAATCGAAGCCCTTGTCCTCAACCTGCGCTGCTTCAAGGCCTAGAAATATTCTGAACTTAAATTTCAGTTGACAGAAGGATGTTTCTCTCTTTTCTCTTCCTTGAGTTAAACCTAGTGAATATTCAAAGTCCTCGAATGTAAGTTGTAAAAGAAGAAAATGGGTATTTTGACTTCTGAAGTACCAACCATTATCTTCTAAAAATATTGAGTACGCCTGATTAGTATGAGACTTTTTTTATTTTTCAGATATGAATCCTAGTATGCAAAATATTCAAATGCAGCCTTCACAACCAACGGTGCAGCCAAACATGGGAGCTCCCTCTGCTAATTATTATAACCAGAATCAACATCAACCATTTCAAATTCTATCGGATCCAATGGTAACAAATATGGCCATGCAATATGGTTCCTCACTTGTTGGATCTGGCCGTCAAATTGTGGATTCACAGTTTGAAAAATATATACCTGTCTCAAGGTTGAAATATTATTTTGCCGTTGATACCAATTATGTCGCTCGAAAACTTATGTTAGTCTTATTTCCATTCCTACACAAGGTAAGAAAAATATCATAAAAACGCACTAATTATTAATTTCCATTGCATTTTTACAAACAGTAAGTGAATATTCTGATCAGGTGGTCGTTTCTCTGATGGAATAATAAGTTTGAATATGTTTATCGAGCTGTCAGTCTTGACATCAGTATATCAATGGTGAAGTTGGAGAAGTGTGTATCTCAGAAAACACGATTTTTCAATCAAGAAAAAAATTGTCCACATTCCTCATTTTTATCAGGAGTATTAGAAAAAAGTGCTTTTTCTGACCTCATCAGCATTTTAAACAATTTTTTTAACTGTCAGGAAATACGGCAGGAACACAAATGTATGCATCTTCAGCATTAAGGAGAAACGCAAAATAGCATTAAAGCTCTGATCTGTTTCCGTTTTTGGCCTAACTTAGTCAAATCAAGACTGGACAAAGAGCTCAGAAGAACATAGTGGTTAAATTTTCTTAGCGGAAGTATCTATTAAAGGGTAACTTCCTAATTTTTTTTCCTGCAAAATAATTTGATGGTAGACAGAGACCTTCCTATACAGCTCATTTATGCAACTAATCCAAAACTGTCTAAAATAGAGGTGCGCTTTTTTGCAGTTTAAACATCAATATAGCAATCTTAACAGGTTCAAAAAAAAAAAAAAAAAAAAAAAAAAAAAAGATGCACTTGAATAAAATGACTTCACATTATCTAAATCCCATGAGCATGAGCATGTATGCTCAAGCTGCCTAAGTATTGAAAAATTTCTCTCTTAAAGTGACTTGACAAAAATATACATGGGAAAGAGAGAAATACCTGAAGGGTCAAGTCTAGCGGAGTCCCAGCTGAGCCGAAAGCAATGAGTCATGGAGCAAAATTTGATCATCAAATCAGAGTCAGGTCAAAATCTTGTTAAAGTAATTCAACTTCATGAATTCTACAACCAACATCAAATCCATGTCTACTTAGTCTAATTTAGCCTGGTCTACTCAGTACATGTACATATACGTTTCTTAAAATTGACTTAATATTCTTGACACTGCGATTGCAATTTTGCTTCTAATCAAAAGAGTATTTTTACTTTCGTGCTCCCCTTGCAGGTAGAGGGGGTATTGTTCTATGTCGTTCTTGTATCATACGAAGTTTCTTATCGCTTTTCTATGTCTTGTGCAGGATTGGTCAATGAAATACGAGCAAAATGAACCTGTGCAACCAAAGTTTGAAGTTAATGCCCCTGATTTGTATATTCCTGTAATGGCTTATGTAACGTAAGTTTTTTACTGCCCCCAAAAATTTGTTAAAAATACAAATTTTTGTGATATTTATGAAGAGCCAGAAAAATATATTTAGACTTTGTTTTGATTTTCTTAATTGCAAATTTTGACTCTGTCCGCATCTGTTTCTTGCGTATTAAAGAACAATGGATAAAAACATCATGTGGCTAAAATAATAGACCCTGCAGGAACTCCTAGAATATTTCTCTGCTGTGATCCATATAAAGATAAGAAAGATGGACTCAGAGATGTCGCCGGCACTGCCAGAGATGCAAAATGAAATTTCTCGGAATGGAATGTCATGAAATTTCCCTTAAAATTCCATTATGCTGGAAAGGTAACTTCAACGATTTTTCAAGGGATGTAATGCTGCACACACAACCTGCAACAATTACGCAAGAATTTTACAAGAAACTTTGAATTTTGACTCGTGTTATTTTTTTTTTTTTTTTTTTTTTTTTTTTTTTTTTTCAAATTAGGATTTTACTGCTTTTATGATTTTTCTGACAAACTAACTCCATTGTTGAAGTCTTAAAAAATTTCATGAAATTTCATCGAGAAATTTTGTTTCCTAAAGTTTCATGCAATTTCGCATCTCTGGGCTCTGAGTATGTGACCTCTATGGAAAGATTCTTTCGTAGGGCTAAATGCAGAAACTGTCATGTCTTGGCAGATCATGTACACCAGATCTTTGACTCTCAACTTCTTTATAAATGAGATAAGAAAGTCTCACTTAGTTTTCATATTTTTTATGTCATGAGACTTCTTAAATACATTTTAATAGCTCATAGTCCACCATCGTAAAACTGAGAGGAAGTGAATTACCCTCTTTTTAATTCAATTCCAATTGTTTTTAAACGTTATTTCTGTTTTGAATTGTTTTTTGAAGAATCCATTACAAAGTGTGTACCGCTGTGTTTTAAAATTTCATTTGTTGCTGACAATCAGATTTGATTTTTCCATCACAGCTCTAGGAATATCGAAAGTACTGTGTGTAAATGTTTCCATTTTTCAGATATGTTCTAGTGGCAGGATTAGCATTAGGCACTCAAAGTAAATTTAGTCCAGAAGCTCTTGGTATATTAGCATCTTCAGCTTTAGCTTGGACTGTCGTAGAAATAGTCATTGCATTGCTCACACTCTACATTTCTAGTATAGACACTCTCTTGAAGACTTTGGATCTACTTGCTTATTCTGGTTACAAGTTTGTTGGGTAAGTTTAATTTTTTTCTCATTTTCAGCCTCTGGCTCATTTCTGGTGTCTCCAACGTGGATGCAAATTAACCCCAGCTCATCAACTTTTTCCTTTTTCTTTTTTATATCATGCGTGACCCTTGCTACAAATCTTCCGACAATTGGAGCATTACTGAATTAGGTATCTCTTTTCTGTCAAAGTGCTTTTACTAATATTATCAGAAGCTTTTACAAATGTTTCAACTCTTTTCTCTGAAAGCTGTAACGAAGGTACGTTCGGATTGTAGCTATTCACTCAAATAACTGATCAAGTCATGCTCATGACTACTGTGCCTTGGAATTTTTTGTTGCCAAGTTTTTAATCGTGAAGGAATTTGTGAGGGCAAAAAATCTTTTATCTCTCCCATGCTAATCTACTTCCTCCATGTTTTTGTTACAGGATAAATTTGGCAGTACTTTTAAGTTTGATGTTAAGTAGGAGTGGATACTACATCACGCTTGTTTATTCAAGTTTTGCTGTAGCTTTCTTCCTGGTGAGCTCTTTTGAGAATTGATTTTTTTCTTTACTTCTTTTTTAGATTGCCTTGTATAATCTGATCAAACAAAATTTATTCAGGTTTGTGACATCGATTCTGAGGTTGCCTCAGTTACATTTTTTTAGATGGTCCTGTTTTCAGCAACATCTCATCTTTATTTTCCAGTAATTCATGAAGTGCTTGAAGTTACCTGACAGTTAATGAAAAATCGATTTTTGTTGTAAAGTATACGAAAGGAGGAAAGAAATACACAGATTTGTTGAAAAGTTGAAATTTTCTGAAATATATTCACCCATGTGGATTATAATAAAACTTTATATCCTGACGTGTTTTGACTTTACAGTTGTCAATGATGGAACTATACACTCGAGTTTCTTCACTCGCTGCATCCTTTATTTTAACATGTGCAAGGTCTCTATCATGATGGCTATCATTTGAATCTAAAGTAAACCATTCTACACAATATAAACAAGTTGCTCATAATTCTGATTTATTTTTTTTTTTTTTTGTTTATTTGAAAGCTTTTCCAAGTTTTTAATTGTTAAGTCTGGAGCGAATTATTTTATGCTACTAAGTAATTAATTTTAGGTCCTTTTATATCTTCAAAATTAGTTACTTCATTTACAATAGCTACTTTAAACTCTCCTTTGTGCATCTCCCTCTGATTAGGTTCATTTACTTTCTTTGCAAAAGAATAAATATTCTTTACCTTATAATGACAATGCTTTGATAAATGCTTTGATGAGGGTTTCAATTTGTGACATTTTCTTTTCGTTATTTCAGGTTAGAACGCTAAAACTGCAAGTGCTAGCTGGAAACGACCCTTACAAAGGATCTGTAGGAAATAAAAGAAGAATGTATTTCATATTATTTATTGCAGTCATGCAACCAATCATGATGTGGTGGCTGTCATCTCATCTCATCCCATCATCGTAATAAAAGTACTATTGCCAGGAACTAATTTTGAAAGTAAGTGAGTCTGCAATATTACTGTGCCAGAAGCAAAATCTAATTGATATTAATTAATCGCTAGAGGAAAAAAAACTTCGAGGTTTTGCATAAAATAATGATTTGTAATATCATTTCTCATGAGAATGTGCTTCCTCTGCGCTTGTAATGAGATGACCAAGGAAAGTTTATGATGAGAAAAAAAAATTCCTGTGGGAAGAGATTTGTTTGAACTAAAGAGACTTTATTTTAGTAGGAATTCATGTTAGCCCTAAATGATAAGCATTAAATTATGGGAGTTTTGACAGGGCTATGCATTAATTCAACTTGGCAGAAAATTTTCCCTACGCAATGTACAACATAGCAGGAGTTGACTGTGCTCTAATTTTATTTCATAATTGCTTTGAAAAGTGGCCAATATGAGAAAAATTGTAAAATGCACATCGTTGCAGAAAAGCAATTTTTACAATTTTACGAATATTATTTACGATTCTGTTACTTTACATTTAAAAGTTACGGAGCTAGTTATAAAATACATGACGCTTAATTTTGTATTTGTTTTATCCTCTTTTCATAAAAGTTTTGGGACCTAGATACCTATTCTTTAAAACGTCCAAACATGATGGCGTAGCACTCTTTTTGACTAATTTTATGAACGGTTCCTAAGTACAAACTTTGTTCATCCAAAAAGTGTCCAACTCTAGAACGAGATAAGATTGATGCTGTATTATGAAAAGAAAAGCTTCATAATTTGACTGCAGAGCTCTGAGGAACTAATATGAATGACATGTGTATGAAACCTTTTACATTCAATCACTTTCGGCTAAATTCAATTTTTTTTTTTTTTTTTACGAACAATAGTTGTTGTTTTTTTTTTTTTTAAGTTGAGTACTTTTTGTAACAAGCTTTTTAGTTAACTTATTCATGTTTCTTATTCTAGTTTTCTCATTATTTCATTTAATTAATTGAATTTTATTTTTCAGACTTTCCATGGGACTCTGATAACTCTGCAAATGACTAGTCAATTTCATAATTTTTTCTTGGACTCCAAGAGCAAAAACCTTGAGATGAAAGAGTCCAACACAATGGAACAAACATGACCAATTGCCAGAATTGCCTTTCCTTCAGTTTCAGCAAACTTTTTATCATATTTTGTGATTTCATCCTTCCTTCATCTCTTTATCATTTCTGTTAGAAGTCTTATTTGCTCTTTTTGCTAGGACTTTCAAAATATAAACTCGTTTTTTAACTTTTTGTCTAAATAATATATTATGGGAAATTGTCATCTTGAGTATGGAAAATAAATTTTCTCATCAATAGTATGTAGTCCCCAAGATATGAGGTAGGGCCTTGAAGGTAAAGCTCTAATGGCGGTTTTTATTTTTAAAAGTGGAGACCTAAGATCCACAAGTTGCTGAAATTAAGTCCTGCTGCCTGATTGTTGAAATTTTGTGGTCGTCGGACAGAAATAGATGACATAGGTTAAAAGGCGGAGCGTGATTGGTCAGCTATGTCTTATCGTGCCTTTGTCAGGTGGAATGGACGACATACGGTCGGAAACTTAAGAGGTGCCTTTAACTTGTCGAGAGTTCCACCCGACATAGGCACGATAAAGCAGCGATAAGACATAGCCGACCAATCACGCTCCGCCTTTTAACCTATGTCACCTATGTCTACCGGATACACACAAAATTTCAAAAATCAGGCTGCTGATAAGACATGAATGAGAAAATTGACTAACACCTCTTCAAGAAAGGATTACAGAAATTGCCTTCAATTTATTATTTCAGTACCAGTTTAATCACTCCAAAGTCTTAACTGTTCCATAATTTTCCAAAAAAAAAAAAAAAAAAACTTTACGCATTGACAACAGAGGAGTTTTTTATAACAAGTATAACCATGGCACAGATATAGTGTCAGGCATCTACGCTAAACACGTCCCCAAATCAGGAACCTACTAATTTTTGAAAGGGATATAGAAATCCCAAGAAATTTTAAACTAGAAAACTTTTATTTGAAATGTTTTGTAGGGCTTCAGATCATTATTTGTGGATGATTAGAATTATCATTTTATACTCTGGTATTCACCTATGCAGATGCCATCTCAAAATTAACAACGCTTTCAGGCACCTGATGCTGTCACTAATGCATCAAGAAGTAGTTCCTAGATGTTGGATTGGTCTCGCATCAAATGGAATAAAAAGAGCCCATCAGCTTTGGCGAAAAAGTGAAGCGAACCTCGTTTTTAAAAACCTCTATAAAATTCTCTCCAGTTATGAGGAATTAAAATTGTTTGGAGGTAAAGATAGAACATTTAGGCCGAACATCTAGATTGCCGGAGATCTATTACCTAAAACTATTTTCTTTTTTTTTTCCTGGGGTTTAAAGGTTGAGTATGATCCCAATACTTATAGAAATGTGTCATTATCTTGCTCAGTGAGTACTTCTGCAATTCTTCCGCATTGTCAATCAAACGATTAAATCCTGTGAATTTCTGCAAGGCAGCTGGAATTTGAACATTTCCATCTTCTGTTTGATGAGTTTCAACTAGAGTTAACAAAAGGCGGGGAATGGCGCATGCAGTTCCATTTACTGTGTGCGCAAATCCACCATCACATTTTATATTGAATCTGCGAGCCTGTAAACAAAAGGATAGTACCATTAGGTATTGTCCGTTACAACCTATTTTAGTAGATTAGAGGTAATCCTTATTTTAGGATCAGAATTTTTCAGTTATTGAAACAACTTATCAGAAATACATCAGAATATAAAACTTGATAATATTCCATCAAGATATTGAAGGTTCTAAGTTTACAGTATCATGGTCATTTCCAACATCCAGCTTCTTTCATATTACTCAACTTTTAGTATTTTTATGGCTGTTACTACCATGACTGTAGAAATATAGACCGCCGGCTAAGATAAAAAGAACACGAAAAGGGGTTTTGAGAATGAGATGGTTGGGAGAAATAACTTTGCAAATAGAGAAGGCTGTTTTTAATTGCAGGAAAATTGTTATCATCCACCAAATTTCCGACATTTATGAGTAAAAAAAGTCAGCACTTAGGTAAAGACAGCAGGAAACAATGCAGAGATGGGATTTCAATTTTATGCATCAAACTACATTTCATTCAAAAAATGAAGTCTAAAACCCCTGCAAATCTGCGTTTTCGAAATTTTTCAGTCAGTTTGCTCTTAACATAATTTTAGCTCTTATCATTTTGATGTTATTCCTTAGGCCAACTTAATAACTGAGCTAGTAGTTGTTCTTTCTAGGAATGTCTATTCTTACGAATACTTATTTAAGGGCCCAGTTATGTTGAACTGGCATTGATTATATCTTGGTAATTAAGTAGAAAATTAAAGGATTTTTAGTTAAAAAAATAAATTTAGGAAAAAACCAAGAAAACAGTATCATATTCAATGCTGTGATTGAATGTGAATGGCGGTTGTGGAACTTTTGAACAGTTTTTCTGTTGGAAATTTATACTGAGTAATTTTACCTGAAAATCAGTGCAGTCACTGCAGCTTGATATCTCTCCATATTTTTGTCGTCCAGGCATCCATGCCTCAATGTCATATTTTCGATATGCTTGAGCACCTAATTCATGAGCTGCCATATCTAGTGTTAGAAAGTGTAAATTAAGATCTGCAAACAGCTTTTCCTGGTGTGCTCGGAAAGTGTCAAGGATGGCGGCAGACTCATCAGGCGAACAAACGCTGAACATCTCAACTTTGGTGAACTGATGCACTCTGGAAAAATTGAAAATATTTCTTAAGGATTAAAACGCAGGTAGGTGGATTATGACTCATTTAAATAATCAAGGCTTACTGCTCATCTGACACTGCTCATCTGACTCTGCTCATCACCTCCTAATGTTCATCGGCGACTATATGGATTACATTTTGCAATAAGGAACCCTTTATCTCTGGCTCTTTCATGAAAGCACGTATCAGCGTAGCGAAACCAATGGCATGTATGTTGTTTCTAAAATTAGCCAGAAATAGTGGTTTCTTATTGCAAAATTTAATCCATGAGTGCTTGATCGATACGTTCATGGAATTCATAAAGAAAATAACTTACCCTAGTAGCAGTGGCTGTTGAGAAAAGTTGTAAAAAACTCGTAAATTTTAAGAGAACTTAAAATTTACTTCAAAACCACTTAAAATTTACATAAAAAAAACTCTTGAAATATTCGTATCAGGAAACCCTCTTTGGGGCTTTTTTACATAAAATTGAAGAAAAATTGTAAGTAAATTTTTTTACGTAACTTTTAAGTAATTTTTTTTACGTGAACTTTAAGTAAAATGTACGTATTTTTTTTTATGAACCTCCTACGGGAAAAAACGAGGGGAAAAAAGAGGTGAACAGAAAAGTATAAAAGGAGGTGTTGCGCAGCTCATAAAAATTGAGGATAGTTCGTTGATTTTTACGTGAATTTTACATTTTCGTTTAATTACAATACTTAACACTTTTATTTTGAAGAATTCCCTAAAGGGTTTAATCTTAAAATGATGTATTTTAGGAGTTTTTTCACTTAAAATTTACAAACCCTTAACCCTACAAGTTTTTTACTTTTTTTTCACTTAAAATTTACAAACCCTTAATCCTACAAGTTTTTTACTTTTTTTTGACAACTTTTAGTAGAATTTTTTTAAGAGCCATTGCTACTGGGGTAATTGCTATTGATTTTGTAATCTTACCTGTATAGACCTCTCTCTTCAGCAAGTTGAGATATTTCAGCTCTGTAACATCGGCTGACAGCAGCGAAATTTATTGGCAGCTCAGAAGAGTGGAATTTTCGATTTCGTAAGTAGTTAGCTATAGCTATTTCAGATGTCCCAGATAAGCACCAATCCTTGCCAAAGAGATTTTCATCCAAGCAGTAGATCTGTAAACAAGTTTGATTTTGAGAACCTTGATAAAATTCCAAGTTCCGCCTCATTTTCGATGAGCCCAGTAAAACGTTAACTTGAGCACAAACATTTTTGCTACTCAAGCGAAAAAGTGGCTGATACAAAATCGATTTTAAGAAACCCCAATTCGTAAGGAGATCAATAGAATTATCATAGAACATTCCTTTCTAGAATATCAGTTCATAAAAATTCTTGTGAGGAGGCTGTCAAAACTCATAAAACCCCGTGCGATTAACTCATTTTTACACAGATTAAGATAAAGGTCTTGTCTCTAGGGCTTTGTGAACATTTGAAAATCTCGATTATTGGACTTCCCATTTTTTTTTTCTGATATTCGGTTCAAACTTGAACCTAGAAACCTTGAATAATTAAACTATTTGACCACATTGATGAAATTTTCCCAGCAAATAAAAATATATTCAAAAACACTAAGTCAGCCTCAGTGGTCTAGTGGTCAAGGCAGTTCGCTGCAGACACTGAGGTCCAGGGTTCAATCCCCGGAGGTGACCGTGGATGACTATGTCACTCCAATCCCCTGACCCTTCGAGGTAACAGGGTGCGTGAGGGACATAGTCACCCAGTAAGTAATCCGTCTGCACTGTTCGACTGGGTTGGGAAAAATCGGTGATCACTCATAGTGTGCGCAACTGCAAGCGCTACCTATCAGTGGAAATTGCAACAACACAGTCCAACTCAGTGGAGGCATGGCCGTGCTCCGAAAATCCGTGTTCTGCAGCGTCTGCCACAGTCTTTGATGAGACCTACCGTTGGCTATCAGACGGCTGGGGAGTCTTGCGGGCATATAAAGGTTACACAATGTGTCAAGAGCACGAAGTTAAAGTGCACGATCCAACTTCGGGGTGCATGACGGCAGTTGCCAGTTGCCTTGGCCCCTTGAGGGCGCCTTGCCGGTCAGCCTGGCCTTACTTACTTACAAAACCACTTGATCATTCAATGAATTGATAAATTCTTGATCTTGTTATCTTTAATAGTCATTTATTTATTCAAAATTGAATTTTCTTTCCCAATTGTGAGGAAATTATATGGAAAATGTTACATTCCAGAACAGTTTTAACACCCTTCCCATAAGGTAAATCAGAAAAAAATAATGTGACATGATTCTATGCTGAAACATTAAATGTTAGAAAAAAAGTATTTATCAAATTTTAAGTAATTTAATACCATACTTACTTGGTGTCTTTCACCATCTGTGACCATTCCACAAGATTTGATTATGCTTTTCTTGAAAATGTCTGGGACAGAAATCAGTTTAAAGCCATTCTCCAACAAATAAGAGAGTGTGTATTTGATTAACGCAGCCTCAAGAGCAGCCAAGTTTCCGGACAAAAAGTAGCTGCGGAATCCAGTGAGGTTCGTCATATTTTCATAACGAAATAAATTATGCTGTGCTGTGAGATCTGGAAAAGACTTGGGCTTAAAATTATAATCAAACTTCGACCCAGTTGAACTGACAACTTTAGAATCTGATCCATATTCAAGGACTTGCGGATGGGTTCTGTTTGGGATGCATGCAGCTGCTTCCAAGAGCTTCCTTTTGACATCTTCATTGCCTTCATCATTCAAGTGTTCCTTATAAAGTGCTAACACTAGATCAATATTGCCGTCACCTTTCCTAGATGAAATATTCTGTCTCACTGATTCGACAACTTTATCGCCACACAAGTGTTCAAAATCGAAGGTTGGTGGAGATAAATCTGGTTCAACGCTTTTCATAGCACCATTCAAAAATTTAGCATTTCCACTGACACTCCTCAAGAGTAATGACGGAGGCAAACAATTTTTTAAGAGATAAGAGGCCACCTTTAAAGTTGAGCTCCCTCGCGAAGTTGCATTCATGGTGAATAGGTTCAACTATGGAGGGTCCTTTAAAACTTTATTGAACGGACTAGGTTTTGAATAAAAAAATCACGAGGTGAGGTAAGGAAATGGAGTATCCAAGTGGGCGATATAAACCGCATAAACTTTCTCCTTTCCTTCAAAACTCAGTTTTCTTTGCAAACTTCTGATACACAGATTCTGATAACATTTCTAAAATTTCTAACCTAAAATAATCACGTTGGGTTTACCATGTTATCAAAAACTAGAGCTCAAAACTATGTACAGTTTTGAGAGTAGGGAATTTCTATTCAATCAATGAAACAGAAGATGAATCTCATGACTCATGAGAAAAGTCAAGAAATATGTTTTCAGTTGATTTACTGAAGTAAATAATTTACTGGCTTTTTAATTCGGAAAATTATCGGAGATAATAAAAGGTCCACAGAACTCATGTACCTAACAGCTCCACCTTTTTGAGTTTTTTTTTATGGTCATACTGTGAAAGCGCGCATTTCTTCAAGGCCGCCTTTATTTTCGGCGTTGTTGTGCTCTTATCAATTCGTCGTCGCTATTTGCGCTATTTTATCTCTCTGTCAATGCTCAAAGGCATTCATGTAATTTATTCTCCTCTCTATTTTGTTTCTCACCCTTTTTCCAAGTTATCTGATTATTTTGAGTGCATTTGTTTTCCTGCGAATCACTGGGTAAGTTTCCTTAAGTACTACCTCTGTCTGCTCCGCATGCTCTTACACTTCATCTTTCCTATCGGAGGATATTGCAGGATGTCATGCCCATACATCTCACCATCGCTCCTTCTAAATTCCTCACAGTTGATAATAAATTCATAGCACAGAAGTAATTTGCACTTTATAGACTGGTGGAGGTCCATTGAGAGATGACTGAGTCACCTAGAACGCACTGTAGACAATAGACTTCAACATTTGAAACGTAGAATAACTACGCATTGCGAAGGGATTGGTAAAGTGTTCCAACAAACGTAGAAAGCAACATGGGATAAGTGAAAGAGTATAATTCGAAACAAACGTGCTGAATGGAATAAAACATCTTGTGCGAATAAATCTTTTGATTATACCATCATCATGGTTGAATAGCCCCAGTGCTTGGTTGTCAGCATCTATGAAACCTTTCTTCCTTTTGAAAATATAAGCAATTATCCTACATCTTGTCATAATTGCCTATTTTAGGCAGATGAAGCTGTTAGTCTGATTTCATGAATGTAGTATCCGTCCAAAGCCTCTGGTCGCAAGTGGCAACGCAACCTCAAAGCCCCTCAAAATTTGACTTATGAAGCAGTTCCTGTTATCTCCTCTGAGAGTATAGTACCTCAAGTTTATTGTTCCTGCCCTATTATAGCATTTTCAAATATTGTTGATCAACAACCAAGAAAACGTTTTGTGAAATGCCCTAACATCGGCCTCTAACTTGAACTAAAAGTTACTCTAAAACTGTTGCTAGCGCTCAAGCTTCTGGTTTTGTACATTATCACTCCTACCGTGAAGAGCTACTTTTATGATGTGTATCATCATGATGACGCAAGAGTTAATATGAGTTTGAGTTGGATGAAGACAATTTTTTTTGGTGCAGCTGCCACTGGTTATTCAATGACGCTGGTTTCCCTCTTTACTTACGAAGGAAAGAGTATGTAAGTAAATTACTTACAATTCATTTTTCCCCTTTCCTACACGAAATAATATCAATAACCCAAAGTAACTATTTTGTCTTTTTCAGCCTTTCTAACCATGGAGTCTTTAAAATCTGTAAAATCTGATAACAACATGTTTGTCATCGATAGCAATGAAGCCTTGGAATTTAAATTTGGTGAGTATTGCCTTTTTGCCCATGATCACAGAACAAAAAATTTCAAATATTGCAAGAGTAATTGTGGCGTACTTAGGAAAAACCGTTTATACTCTACGATGCAGCCATATTCCCCTCTTTGATTGTATTAGACCTATCTGATATTTTACCTCTACTCTCGTGAGGCAATAAAGGTGGCCCAGTAATTTACTTTCTATTGTAGTTCCTCATCAGATCAGCTTAGGATGTTGGTGCTAGATCTGATGAAATCAATAATGTAGCAAAATCAAAGTATTGCCTTGTTGCCAAAGACATTGAATCTTGTATAGCGGGTGTCCGTCTCAGTTTAGTACAGGCAGAGCGAGACAAGTCTCTTGGAGCCCCATGATAGGCGGGCAGAGAAGGAGAGAAAGCGTGTGTTCCAAGCACTCGAAGAGACTGCAGAGAGGTAGTGGAAAATTCATTTGCACGCTCGGTTTTTCACGAATATCTCGTTTAGATTCTATTTTCAGACAAAATTCCAAAGAAGAAAGTTTTAAAATGTATAATTTTACAACTGAATAACAATGTTTCATTTTCCTGAACTAATTATTAACCGAGAAAAAAAGCATCACAATCCGACAAAAATTCACTTGAGCCGCTACTGCGCATGTGCAGATGTGTGCAATTAGGACACACAAACTCATCAATGCGGGTCGGTGCTAACACTCATCGGCATGCAAATTTTTAGAAGTTGTCCCGCTTTCCGTAACACAGGATGCACGGTCTACGTTATTCAATGTTTTCGCTCGTTACCCATACTACTGAGTTTAAGTTTACAGAAACCTGAATACCAAGGTGTCTTTAGCCTCATGCTTTAACCTAAAACTAATGTATTTATCTTTTTTACAGTGAGAACAGCAGAAGATGTTCATGATGATAAGTGTATCTTCAAACCTGATTTGTCTCACCAAGTTTTTGGTGAAAGGTAAGCTTTCTTTTCTCAAGTAGATAATTTTGTGGTTTTCCTCCTTTCTGCATTTCTTGTGATCCTCCCAAAGTCTGCAAATAGTGAGAGAAGTCTTCAATTTGGCTCCAATAAGTTATGTACATTTTTAAGGAGGAATAAAAGAAGAGATCAGAAGACTAGATTAAAAGATCTTGTCTGATATCACTATGAAAGAACTCAAAAATCAATACTCAGGAATTTTCTGAAGAGAATGATGTGTATTAAGTCTTACTTCAGTCTCATCACGCCGAGAGATGTTCTTTTTGAAGATCTTCAAAACGATGGATGGTTGTTTGATGTATTCTTAGTCATTTCCTCGCCTCTGTCCACCATTCAAGGGATTTTTTAAAAGAATATCTGACGTGCAGTGAAAAAAAAAATAGAGACTGAACCCATGGTTCTCTGCAGAAAATTCTCTGAAATTGTTTTTTCAAGCTATTGACCTGTAGATTTGGTTCATTGTACGCAAAGGACACAGCCAAGAAAGTCCAGAAGAAAAAGTCATGTTTCAGTAAGTTAGTCTTTTCTTTAATTCCATGCTTAGTCCTTGAGATGGTGGTAATGAACAAGGCGGTTCAAACATGTTTCAGAGGATCCCACAAAATGAAGCGCTCCTTCAGCAGAAATATTTTTTCGTTTTTACCTCGCACATCGTTACTCCTCAACTATTCAAGGCCAATTCCTCTCCAGCTTAACTGACCCATTATCATGAGTAACAGGAGTTTTATATTTATTTTTCAGCGAAACTATATTTGGTTACAAGAATTTGAAAATCAAGATCTATTATTCTGCTGGGAGGTTGAATACATATGTTGCTGTTGAATATGATGAGAAAGTTAATCCCAACAAAGCAGACGGTCTGAAAGTAAGTAATAACATGATTTGTTAATATTACTTAGCTCTTCTTAAGCTTAACTGTAACTATATATAAAAATAAACCAACATCACCTCAGATAAAACTGTCAAAATTTATCTTATCAGTTCAGACTAATTGTCCAAAATTGACCGAACATTTAACAAAAATAAATTAACCTGTCTTGGAATATTTGGATATCATTCAATGTGATAAGTACTTATGAAGGTCCTAAGTATAGAAGCAAAGAACCCCGCACAGAGCATGGGGTCAGCGGCTCTCGATGAAAGTCGATGAAACTTTAATAGATTGATATAAAGTTCATAATTAAGAGAAAGTCAAAAAATTAGCTCACTTTTGCGAGTAGAAGCCGAGATATTCGTGTTTGAACCCGGACTATTTTCTGTGCGGCAGAGGTAAATTCTCCGTGTCGCCTTACCTTGCTTGAGCACTTCGGCCAGGAAACCCCCTCCCCCACCAGGTAACTACGATGTCGCATTGTTTACACTCACTCCTTTCATTAGGACGCTCCGTTCGGGCTGTGCAATATGGAGTTCCCTGCTTCTCGCACCTCTCCCGTGCCGACGCTGCTGGCCGGTTTAATCTGAAATCTAGTTGCTGAAACAGAATTGACAGATGCGGGGAGAGGGAGAGAGTACGGCATTCGCACTGGCCAAGCGCATAAGCACCTGTCTTCACGTGAGTGACGTGAGGTCTGTTCGAGAACGCGGAACAACGAGAGGAGAGGGGACTCGGAATTCTTTCGCCATGCTCCGGCATAATAGAAAATAGTCCGGATTTAATTGCGAATATCTCATTTTCTACTCGCAAAAATGAGATCATTTTTTGGCTTTCCCTTAATTATGAACTTTATATCAATCTATTTAAGTTTCATCGATTTTCATCGAGAGCCGCTGACCCCATGCTCTGTGCGCGGTTCTTTTGTTGCAGGACTTTTATTATGATCGAACCAACAATTTGAGCCCCTAGCCAATGTAGAAAGCTCTCTAAGTATGTAGTATATCTTTGGTATTTATTCCGTAGCTTTTGCGTCATGAAAACTCCCATTTCTCTTCAGTTCTGTGATATTTATTGTAAGTCGGTTTTTCTGTTATAGCCAGATCCAATTCTCCAGGCTTTAGAAGAAGTCATTCCCAGTGGCTACACTCAAAATTTAGATGACTTTATCGCTTCACTATCCAAAGAAGCCACTTTCAAGCCTTTTGGAACCTTACTGCAGAAATTCACAACAAGTAAGTTTAGAACACTCGAAAGAGAATCCTGCTCCGAGGGCCTGAAAAGTAATTTTCATCTGATCAAAATAAAAATTGAAAGTCTATTTTAGGTACTGATCATAACATTATCACTTGTTTTTTTAGGTATTAGTGCCTCATTGGCCAGTTTTCTGGACATCGAAACCCTGCTGTTTTTTATGGGACTATGCACATTGGTTTATTAGTAAGGGTTAAATTAGGATTCAAATGACGATTTTTCCATAAGAATCCCAACTATTTTTTGTTTTAATAGCCAAAATTTGCCTTCACATTTTCGAGAAATTACCATTTTTTCAATTATTTAGATAAATCCCCTCTAAACTGAGCCTTCTATTCCTCTCCATAATCTATAAAATGTTTCGAAACAAACCTAGTACTTTTCCAATTGTTAGAAAAACCCTCGGATGGACAGTGAATACACCTTAAGTGTGTAAAACAGATTATTTTGCTATCAAGCTTTGAGTTTTCTCCCAAAAAAATGACCAATGAAAAAATGAATTTTTGTCATAATTTTAAATGACCCCTATTACACTAAACTATTGCACTGGAACTTTGAAAAACAATTTGACTTAGTTTTATAGAAGTGGGCCAAGTCGCATTTTGGAAGTAAATGAGTTAGGAGCAGTTTTGAATTCAACTAATCGTAAATTTTCTCCCATCTACAATTCAAAGTCGAGAAAAAATATTTTTAATATAAAAATGGTCGTTAAACGTTGTTCTGAAAACTGAAAATTGAGCCCTAAGTCTCACAAAGGTGTAAAACTTCAAACCTTTTTTCTGGTTTGAACTTGACAGGACTCGGTGTGTTTCCATTCACTTAGGTTCAATTTTCATTCTTGAGGCCATTTTCAAGTTAAACTGACACATAGTTGATTGGTTTGATTTTCAACAATGTTTATACCTAGTCTCCCAACTCAGCAGAATCATCACAGTCCAAAATAAAATAATTGATAATTTGTTTGTTTTTTTTTTTTGTATTTGAAAAGGTATTACTTTCTTTTCTTAATTTTAAATCACCACCTGTTATTGTTTCAATTTTCAGATATGCACGGGAAGGATCGAGAATACGAAGTCTATCTTGTAGATACTACTACAAAGGATTTCATTGCCTACTTTAAAAGACTGCAAACATTCGTTATGTGGTACATTGATGCTGCTTCCTTCCTCGATCACGATGATGAGAGCTGGCGTTACTTCCTAGTGTAAGATTTTGAACTTCAATCCTTTAAAGTATTGAATAAGAGTCATTTCTAATCAACAAAGTGAAAATTTTACTCAGTCGTGGGTTTTTTTCTGATTAATGTGATATTTTCACCATGCACTCTGTCTCTCCATTTCAGCATGATGTGAATCGAGTCTTTTCGCTTAACATGATCTAATTTTTCTATCATACTTATCCAAACTCCCAGTTCAACATATCGTAAGGGTTTTTCTCTCTTTTTTTTGTTTCTTTGTTTCTTGTTAATTTATTCGTTCTTTTTTATCAACCCAGTGGCTACCATCTTGGTCTATAGGATTGGCTTGAAAATTACTACTGATAGCACAACCACAAGCTCAGCATTCATTATTGCTGTGGATTGGTTAGTTTGAAGCATTCCCTTGACGCTTTCAGCTCTAGAAATGCATTTTTGTACATATTCAGCAGAAAACCCCTGTTTTCATCCCTGTCCATTTTAGTTTTTTGTCTCTCTCTCTTGTTTCATCCTCATGTGCAGTGAAAACATTAACAAAAAATACTTTGATGATCAACTTCACCATGAATCATGATCAATTTCAGGTGACTTTGTATCATTTGAGTGGTGCTTAATTCAGATACCTATGAAGGTGGTGTCATCTGTCATTCCATGTTAGATTAGTTACAGAATAAATCACGAAATTATTTCATTAAAGGGGGAAAATTGATTGCAATCCCAACTCTCTGGCCATGAGGTATGCTACTTGCAACACTTCTGCACATTTTCTTATTGCAACTAATAATTCTTATATGTTTCAGTTTCGAAAAGTACAAAAATGATGATAATCAAGATGCCTACGCCGTAGTAGGTTTTGCCACTGTCTTTGAATACTACGCATATCCTGAAAATATTCGACCTCGCATAAGCCAAATATTAGTGTTCCCACCGTTCAAGAACCAAAGCATTGGAGCTCATCTGTACAATGCCATCAACAAACATTATCGAGTCAACAGTAAAGTAACTGACATTACAGGTATGATCTGTTTTACCAGATGGTTCATATTAATTAAATATTTAAAATCTTGTGCTTAAATAATTCAAGTTTCTCTCTCCACCGATCTGTAGAAACTCTCTTGTCAAAATCCGGAAGAATATTCATTATCCTTCAGAAAACATTGATGGATGAAATAGAGCCAACTTTAGTAATTCTTCTGCCTCGGAATTTTTTTTATATAATATTTTTACAGTAAATTTTTAAATGTCCATTCTACAATTGATTCCTTTGCCTAATCAAAGTATAATCTTAATATTCTGTGTACCATCATAAAATAGAAGGCATAACCGTAAATCTCTCGTGTTAGAGAATGATTTTTTGCTCAGAGGATACGTATTCATTGTTCTTAAAATCTCTTTTTCTAATTTTTCCAGTCGAAACTCCATCTGAAGATTTCCAGCGTGTTCGAGACTACGTAGATGTCAGCTATTGCTCCACTTTAGAAAGTTACAAACCAGATAAAATACAGCAAGGGTTCAATCAAAACATGATCCAACAAGCTAATAAGGTCTATAAAATCAATCCAGTGAGTATTTTTTCTTTTTAATTTTGTACATCCCTTATACTCTCTATTAAAGCTATGTCATGCAATCACTGGTAGTCAAAAATCGTTGATGTTGGGGAATTTGTAACAACCAGGAAATTGGGGTGAAGTCATTGAGTTCAAATTTGAACATGAATGTGGCAAGCATCAAAACAAATGGTTGGTAATGCTTTTTATTGCCTCTGAAGTAAACTGCCTTACTGATAGCTTGACCAATTTCCTCTGTCTTGCTACAATGGGAGAACAACGTGCAGCTCAAGGATGAGGAGTAAGTCAGGAAATTTAAAATAAAAATATGTTTCTTGTTTTGTAAAGTCCAAAAATTTCCTATAAAGAGTCAAAAAGTTAAGGCTCTGAAGGTCAAAGAATTCTAAAATCTAAGGAGTTTTATCCAAGGGATGCAAGAAGTCCTTAGCCTTCCTTTTTGTCCTCTCTAGGAACTTCTCAAAAATTACCAGAATCATACATATAGATTGTAGTAAATTTATATCCAAAAATTCTACTTAAGTTATCACGAAATAAGTTTTTAGTTATTAAAGCTTCAAAGAATTTTTCAAATTTTAAATTGAGTCTGAAAAAAAAATGTGTAGAGGATTTCATAAAGATCTCAAATCACTTTCTCAAGTCAAATGAGTGTCTGAAAATGTCGACCCTCTTTTTTCTCTTACATCAAAAACTGAACTAGTGTACCCCTGTGCACTGTGAGTTCTGCACTATATGTAATTGTTTTCCCCCAGTATGCCTCCTCTTTATCTTTGCTAAAGCAATACAATGATATAAACTGCATGATTATCCTGTATAATTTATTTCTGTCATCTGTGCATTTTCAAAAGGAATTACTTTGCTTTCAGAAACAAGCGCGTAAAGCATACGAGATTCTTCGACTGAATTCCACAAATCAAGCAGACAAAGCTCAGTATCAAAGTTATCGACTGGATGTAAAGAAGAGATTAAATGTACCTTTCCAGGTACGTGGTCCAACTTTTTTTCTTCGTTCTGTGTATTTATCCTGTTTCAATTTTCTACCACTGCTAGTTAAGTGTACTGCTAAGCTGTTTTGCTCTAAGCTTAGATAATCTACAGAACTTTTTGTTGGTCTTTCAATCAAACTAAATGGAGATGAGATGCAATAATGAGACAAATGTCAAATTAAAAAAATGTGGTTTAGTTTTATAAGATTTCTAGGGCTGTGCGAATAGTGATTTTGAAAAGTAAAGCAAAGAGGGAGGTGGATAGCCAATTATTGGCAAGTACAAATACACTAATTCAAAACTGAAAGTTGGAAAATTTTAAAATTTAAATCTATAGGGACAGATTTGAACAATACTAATATCACTGTCTACCATGAAAAAGACTTCGGTCCTCGAGGCAAAATCTTCAGTACGGTAATTGTGGTTGAAAAATCGTTTTTTAAGATTTCTTTGTTAAGCTCTCTCTTCATATGCACTCTGATTAAGGCAAATTATAATCTTTATAAGCTTTTTCTTTGAACAACATTTTTTGAACTAGAAAGTTCAAGCCACAGAGTTTGGTTTGACTTTTTGAGGGAAAAATTTCGCACTACTGCTTTTCTCCAGGTATGAGGAAGTTTCGAACAGTAAAATCAACAGTCCAATCATAGCAGTTTTTAGCGATGCTAAAGTTGCTTCCGATTTTTAGTACCCATGAAGAACTTTAATGGGTCTTTCAGCAATGTTTTTACCTTTTGTCGTTGACCTATGGATGGCCGAAGTGCAAAACCATGTATCTCCATTTGCAACGTTGTAAAATCCCCGTCATACTTCATTTTTTCCCTGGGAAACTAGTGAACGCAATCCCTTGAAAACTCTCTCGATTTTTCCTCCCTGTTGGCAGAATATTCTTTACAGATTTCAAGCTACAAAGTTGGCTCATGTCTCTTCAAAATGTATAACAGCAACAAAAACGTGGACTTACCGCTATGAAGATTCGTCGTTTTCCACTTGAGCCATCAATATGGTGTCTCTGGGCTGATATTAAAAAATAACTTTTAGGGCGAGCCTCTCCGTCTTTTTTGTAATGTCTGTGTGTTACAAAGTTGGAAGTATTTTGAACCGTGATCTTTCAGGCTTTTTTTATATTATTATTTTCGAAATTAGTTATTATGTCACCATTTAATGCATCTCAGAGTTGTTTCATAATGTTTAAGACTTACAGATTAGATATTATGTACAAAATCCTTCCAACTGCCGAGTTTCAACACAGACTTTGTGCTTGTTCTTCTAAAATGTGATATGTCATCCACCATAGCGATGCATACATTAATGATTCCGAAGAATCAGAAACATTTTGATTTTCTTAACATTGTGTATCCTTTGAGTTTGTCCCGAGCAACAATGCCCTCAGAAAGTGATATTTTTGCAAATATGAAGAAAGGAAAAAAACAACAAAAAACTAAGAAATCGGTTCAGAAAAATAGTTTTTCTTAAATTTTGATTGTTACCTAAAATGAAATCCTATAATCAAGTACTTATGATGTGTTGTGCCAATCTTTTCTCCTCATTCCCTCCCCCTTCCATAATTCTCCAGTTTTCTAGTTTCATTTATGAAGAAATATGCATTATTATCCTGTCTAGATAAATTTCTTACTTAATCTTTGATTCTCTGATTACAGAAAGAAGTCGCGTCCCTCAAAAAACTTCAGTCAAAGATGAATTCCTCTGAACTTCAAGCTGCTTTAAATTTAACTAGCTCCGAGAAGAGAATAGAGAGACTAGACCAGGATTACAAAAAATTAGAGGAAGAATACCGCCGCATTCTTGACCGCTTCCATACTAAACCAATGCAACCAACATAAGAAGTGATTTTTCTTTTATACCTCCACTTTTACCACGTAATTCAGCGTCTATTGGACTGTTCTCTGCTGTGAAAAATTTGGTCTCAGTTTCCATTTCAACCGTAGCTTAAATGTTGGAAAATTCTTTTCTTTTTTTCATTTTTTCCATGTCTCTAAAACTTTACCTTTGTACCCATGTATCATATTTTAATTTATCATTCATTTTCACAAGGGTCCTCATATTCAATGATTTTTTTTATTTTTAGATAATTTTTTAGATCTTAAGTTTTATTTGGCTCATCACACCCTGTCATCAAGTAAATGTCACTATTAAAAATAAAATCCAACTGCCATTTTGTACTTCAGTGTATAATTTTCTCTACCTCTTTTCGACTGTGAGTCTAGTTGATGGGAAATCTAAAAAATGGTCCAGATAGAAGGATTTGCATCTTACAGTGTACTGATATGCGGTCTGCAGTTGACACCAGCAGAGCATTCTCTTTTTAGTCGTGCGGCGAAGCCGTATAGACTCTAGGTTTCGCCGGAGGCTAAAAAGTGTCCACACTTTTAGGCTAAGTCCAAGAGGAGAATTTTCGAGGAACCAAGTAACATATGAGGTATTGATATCGGTGCATTTTGGCCCAATGGAGATGTTACATGTGCGAGGAATTTGCAATTT